ACCATTGCTTCTTGTTCTATCATCTGCCACCACTGTGATCAGCCGAGCTCCATCCTCTTTGGAACCTCCCTTCAGGTAGTTGAAGGCTGCAATCAAATCCAGGGTTGGCTTTAAGCCAATTCACACAATTCCCTGGAATCGGGCCCCGTGCCAAAGAGGGTCCCCCTCCGGGGGTCTTCGGCGGCATTTTGGCAGCGGGGGGTCCTTCGGTACCGCGGAAGACTTGGAGCAGACCCCCCACCGCAAAGTGCCGCTGAAGCCCTGGACTGCCACCGGGTATTGGAATCGGACCCTGCGGGTCATAAAGCCGGCCCTGATCAAATCCCCCCTCACTCTTCTCTTCTGCAGACTAAATAACCCCAGTTCTCTCAGCCTCTCCTCATAAATCATGTGCTTCCGGCCCATTAATCATTTTCATTGCCCTCCGCTGGACTCTCTCCAATTTGTCCACATCCCTTCTGTAGTGGGAGGCCCAAAACTGGACGCAATACTCCAGATGTGGCCTCACCAGTGTCGAATAGAGCGGAATAATCACTTCCCTCGATCTGCTGGCAATGCTCCTACTAATGCAGCCCAATATGTCTTTAGCCTTCTTGGCAACAGGGCACACTGCTGATTCATATCCAGCTTCTTGTCCACTGTAATCCCCAGGTCCTTTTCTGCAGAACTGCTGCTTAGCTAGTCGGTTCCCAGCCTGTAGCAGTGCATGGGATTCTTCTGTCCTAAGTGCAGGACTCTGCACTTGTTCTTGTTGAACCTCATTAGATTTCTTTTAGCCCAATCCTCCAATTTGTCTAGGTCACTCTGGACCCTATCCCTACCCTCCAGCATATCTACCTCTCCACCCAGCTTAGTGTTGTCCACAAACTTGCTGAGGGTGCAATCCATCCCATTATCCAGATCATTAATGAAGTTGTTGAACAAAACTGGTCCCAGGACCGACCCCTGGGGCACTCCACTTGATACCGGCTGCCAACTAGACATGGAGCCATTGATCACTACCCATTGAGCCCGACGATCTAGCCAGCTTTCTATCCACCTAATAGTCCATTCATCCAATCCATACTTTTTTAACTTGCTGGCAAGAATACTGTGGGACACCGTATCACAAGCTTTGCTGAAGTCAAGGTATATCCTGTCCACTGCTTTCCCCGTATCCACAGCGCCAGTTATTTCATCATAGAAGGCAATCAAGTTGGTCAGGCATGACTTGCCCTTGGTGAATCCATGTTGACTGTTCCTGATCACCTTCCTCTCCTCCAAGTGCTTCAAAATGGTTTCCTTGAGGACCTGCCCCATGATTTTTGCAGGGACTGAGGTGAGACTGAGCAGTCTGTAGTTCCCCAGATTGTCCTTCTTCCCTTTTTTAAAAGATGGGTACTATATTTGCCTTTTTCCAATTGTCCAGGACCTCCTCCTATTGCCATTGTCTTCAGTTAGCTCTGGATTGCCCCCAACGTGCATATGTACATCTGTTAACCACTGCTGTAATTTCCCCACTTGTAGTTTTACAAATATTTATGATACATGTATTTTAAAGATTAAAAAATAATGTGGTGAAGGAGTTGAATTTCATAGTAGCCACGGGGTGTGCTAAAGATACATGCAGAAACCTACAGGCCGGTGTGGGACATGGTCCTATATGTTTACTTGAGACAAGCAATGTCTCCCTATCTCAGGAGGGAAGTGTAAGCGGGTTTCTAAAGTCAGTATAAAGCCTATGATGTGTCTGTGGTAGTAGCTTTAGGGTTCACATCCTCTTCAGGCTGCAGCCACTAGGGGGCTGTCAAGCGCATAGGAACTGGTCCAACATTCTGTCTAGCAGAAAGCAATGGTGACTATGGGTGGTCAGGAAATGCAGTTTTTTCACCATGAAAATGTTTTATTTTTCATAGAAAATTTTCTTCAACATTTTTTGTTGAAAAAAAATGAAAACTGAATGTACTTCTTTATTTTATTTTTAAATTTTTATATTCTTTTTACTTGTTTGGCATTGAGAGAGCAAACATGGAAGTGTTTGGGTTTAAAACTGTAAACCTTCTGTTTTTGGTGGCCAAAAACTGGGGGGTGGGGGGGGGAATTGGTTTGGGGATTTGGGATTTTTTTTGATGAAACCCTGAACATTTTCAGCAAAACGGGAATTTTTTTTTTCTTCACAAAAATTTCTGTTTTGTCAAAAAGCCATTGTCTGTCAAATGTAAAGTTTCCAATGAGCTTGAACAGCGACACATTGCAGGAAGGAAGAGAAAATAATGTTTTATTAATGAATAATATTATCATTATAAAGTTTGTGTATGAAAGGAAGATGACATTAATTATTTGGTCCAGGTGGGCTTCTAAGGCCTACCCAGAGTCTCAAGGATAGCTTTATTATTTTCCCATTCAATAATAATCCTAGTAAATACATTAATACAATTGCTGCAATTGTGAATCTACATTTATCCAATGATTTCCTAACACTTTACCAACATTTAATTGCTTTTGGGAGGCTGGTGTTTCGATCTCCAACTGGGGAAACAGATACTAATGATTCATTTGTATTTTTAAGCATTATTTGTAGTATAGCGATGCTAGATGCTGTGCAAACATGTGAGAGTGATGAGTGTACAGTCTTAATAGCTAAGGCAGACAAAGGGTGGAAGGGGAAACTGAGGCACAGAGCGTCAAAGTGACTTGTTCAAGGTCACGCAGCAGGCCAGTGGCAGAGCTGGGAATAGAATCCAGGAGTCCTGATTCCTTGCTCAGAAAGTTTTGCTGATTTTGGAACTGATGTCAACATTGAAATATGAGTCAGAGGAGAGAAGGGGAAGAAAGCAGCTGTAGAAATGGTGAATCATTCTCTCAAGAGACTAAAGCAGGTTTTTAGGCCTGGTCCTCCTGATTTCGTGTGTGTGTGTGTGTGTGTGTGTGAATCCTGAGAGCATTTGTCATTGGGTGATTTGGTGGGTGGGTTGGTGGCAGGCGGGGAAGCCAAACTGCTGCAGGATTATAGAGGATATTTCTGTCCCACTGACAGCCTAACGTTTCCTTTTGGAGTTATTGAGATGAACAGCAGTCCACCATGCCAGTCATTGAACTGCTTTGTGTGGGCAGCTGAAGGTAAAAAAAAAATCAAGGACATAAAAAGATTGGCAATTATCACTAATTAGAGGCCTCAAAGATAGCTCAATGGGTATTAGAATCCCCAACAGGGAAGGGTTATTTGGCATGATAGGACTGAGTAGATATAGTAGCATACTGAATTGGGACCGACAGCGATCAAGTGCTTCAAATCATTTCAGGAGGTCTTCCCAAAAATCCAATAGCTGGCAAGCTTGTTCTCTATACTGCGTGCAAATCATGCTCCCAGTGGAGTTTTGCTCTTGCCAGCCATTCGATAGCTCTGTAGCCCTCCCTGTATTTGCTAGCCAAATCCATGAAGGAAGCTCCTTTCACTTGTTCTCACTTAGGAAAAAGAGATTCCACCCCCGCAGCAGAAAAACAACCTGCCAGGAATCCATGTCAGGGCTAGTAAAGAAATGTGAGGAGGCTCCCAAGGGGACAACATGTGCTGTGTGGAATCCATTGGGAAGGTCAAATGGGTTAATATCTGTAACATTGCTCTTCAGTCCTGCAGAGGTGTATGTGTGAACACGACATTAATGATTAGCGCTGCTGCTAATTGCTTTTAACTTTCTCAAGACAAGGCAACGTCAGAATTGTCCTGACCTTTAGTTCCAAGCAGTACTTCAATTATTTTCCCTTTGCTGATCTGTCTTTGAACAGCTGGGAGCTATTGTGCAGCAAGCATTTAAGGCAGCACTAAGTAGGCAGGCAACAAATGAGAAATCTTTCCGAGAGCTTTCAGCCAAACTTGTTTTGAGGAGGCTGACACCCATTTGGATTCAAACTTGCAGTCACTTTTGGAAATGCTCAAGCCATTATTCTGCATTTTCTGCAGGAGGTGCAAGTGGCTGCCACTCACTAGCTGTCCTCAGTGAGAAATTAACCAGAGTTAAATGGTTGTCTTAAATAGCAATTGAGGAATAAAGAAGATATCACCAATAATACACTAGGCTTGTCTGTCTGTCCTCCTAAACACTGCCCCCTGCTGGGTGGAATGTCCTTCTCAGGCCCATGCTAGTCCATGAACACGGTGTTCTCTGCTGCCCACAGAGGACAAGACGTGTGGAAGGGGAGGGAGAGGGACATAAAATGGATAAAGAGAAAAGCAGAGCAAGGTGGGAATGAAGAGGATAAAAAGAGATGAAGGGGAAATGTTGATGAAAGGACAGAAGGAGAACAAGTTGAAGGGGAGACAGAGAGATGCCAAGGTGGGTGTGAAGAGGAGAAGAGAGTGCATGGAGAAGTATCCTTGATGTCACATTCCCACCAGTCCATAAATATATCATGGGTATCTGATGGTCCTTGGTAAAAAAACGGTCCCTAAATTATAACCCATTAGTGCTGCTTTGTTTTGCTAGTGCATAGATTCTAAGGCCAGAAGGGCCATTACAATCATCTAGTCTGACCTCCTACACAACACAGCCCTTGAATTTCACGTAGGGATTCCTGTGGTAGAGGGTATCAGAGGGGTAGCCGTGTTAGTCTGGATCTGTAAAAAGCAACAGAGAGTGTTGTGGCACCTTTAAGACTAACAGATGTATTGGAGCATAAGCTTTCGTGGGTGAATGCCCACTTTGTCGGATGCATGCATCTGTTAGTCTTAAAGGTGCCACAACACTCTCTGTTGCTGTGGTAGAGGGAATCACTTGTCCTTTTTACATAAATGATTAATACTATTGAGCCCAAATTGAATTGTCCATAAAAGACTTGTAATGTCCCCAAAACTTGATGACTGATAATGCAAAATCGGTGGTGGAAATGCAGTGGACTGACAGCTATTGCTCATCTTGTTGCTTTATGTGATAAGTTAATTGGCATCGCTGTATAAAGACAAAGCAGACATTGTGTGCACATACATGTATATCATCTCTCTCTTGATCCTTCTGTTTTCCTAGGAAACCAAGATGGATTACAGTTCCTTCAGTGGAGCCCCAAGGTTCCTGACTCGGCCTAAGGCCTTCATGGTGTCGGTGGGGAAGGATGTCACCCTGAGCTGCCAGATTGTGGGAAACCCCATCCCACTGGTGATCTGGGAAAAGGATAAGCTTCCAATCCAGTCGGGGGGAAGGTTTAAAATGGTGGAAGATGGTGATCTGTACCGGCTAACAATTTATGACCTGAGCTTAGAGGACAGTGGTCAGTATATCTGCAGGGCCAAGAACACCATTGGGGAAGCTTTCACTGCTGTCAGTATCAAAGTTGGGGAGGAGACGACGGTGATGGAATCGGCCCCTTACTTCATCCAGAAACCCTCCTCCATCAGAGTGACCCTGGGAGACGATGTTACGTTCAAATGTAAAGTCCAGGGCAGCCCACCTCTCTCTGTGAACTGGGAGAAAGATGGAAGGCACGTGAGGGGCTGGTCTGACTCCAACCGCTTCCAGATTGAGTCCCTCGGGGAGTCAAGTGCTCTCAAGATCCAGTGCGCTCGGTTGGGGGACAGTGGGACATACATGTGTCGGGCGGAGAATCCCATTGGCTCTGCCAGTGCTACCGCCACCCTGGTGGTGGACACACATGGTTCTTACAGTCCAAGCAGCAGCCATCTAGACACAGGCTATGGCAAGACTGCCTCCTTGCTGTCTCATTTGCAAAAGAGGCGCGAGGAAATCAGGAAAATGGACACATCCATGCTCGCAGCCGCTGATTCCATGGCTGCCCCAATGTACTCCGCTAAAGAGGGGCTGTCTGGTATTGGTCTCAGCCTTTCTCTGGATTATGAGAGGGCTGCCAGCCTCACCGCCAAATCAGCCCGCAACGCCACCTTCGGGGTGCTGACGCGTACCTTCAACGTGACGGAGGGGAAGCATGCCAAGCTGAGCTGCTACGTGACAGGAGAGCCCAAGCCGGAGATCGTGTGGAAGAAGGATGGCGAGGTGATTACAGAGGGGCGCCGGCACATTGTGTACGAGGACGAACAGGAGAACTTCGTACTGAAGATCCTTTTCTGCAAGCAGGTCGATAATGGGCTCTACACCTGCACAGCCTCCAACCTGGTGGGACAGACCTACAGCTCCGTGCTGGTGACTGTCCGAGGTGAGCGGTTATGTTTACTTATCCATTGGGCCCTGTTCCTACTCCCTTTGTCATCAGTGGGGATGTGAACAAGGGGGGATGTGGTTCAGTGACAGGAGAACTAGTAATGTCTCTAGTTTTTACTCCCTTTGGTTTATCCAAGTCTCTCACACAACTGTTTCCAAATGGCTATAAAGGGAATTCCTTCCATCCAAGTCCTCTCCTCAGTCTATCCTGGACTCCCTAAAGCTCTGGCTCCCTCCTAGGTCTCTCTTCTCAAGGGAGCCATCTCTCACCATTACCTTCTATTCCTGCCCCTTTTCCCAGCATGCTTTGCTGTAGGGCCTACAATTCCCATGTGCCCCTGGAACTACCATCCCCAGAATGCCTTTGTTCTGGGCCGAAGCCAGGAACAGGGCAGAGCTGGACCTGAGAACTCCCTTAAAAGCAGGGGCTTTGTATTTTGTATGTATTTTGCTGCCCCAAGCACGGCAGTCAGGCGGCTTTCGGCGGGGCGCCTGCGGGAGGTCTGCTGGTAACGCGGATTCAGCGGCATGCCTGCGGGAGGTCCGCCAGTCCTGCGCCTTCGGCGTCCCTGCTGCCGAATTGCCGCTGAAACCACAGGACTGGTGGACCTCCCGCAGGCATGCCGCCGAAGGCAGCCTGACTGCTGCCCTCACGGTGACCGGCAGGGTGCCCCCCGTGGCTTGCCGCCCCAGGCACGTGCTTGCTGTGCTGGTGCCTGGAGCCGCCCCTGCTTAAAAGGCCAGCAAACCCTGCTTGACAGTCTTTCCATTGACTTCAGTGGAAATGGAATGAGATTCTGGTAGAAGAGTGTGACAAATACTAAATGGACTCCTCCATAAAGGAAGTTTTCTTACTCAGTTTTGAATTTTTAAACAGTTCTCTCATTTTGCAAAATTTCAGAGTAACCCATTTGCACTCTAAAATGTCCCTGTGAAAAATGAATTTACATATGAGAATTTTACTTTGTATTTTTTAATGCAAAAATAATAATTTCATGGAAAATGATTTCTAGCTGGAAAAAATGACCTGGAACAATATAACAGAGTTCTGTATTAAATTACGTGACAGTTTTTCAGCACATTCTCTATTATCTTTAATACTGTACAGGATTCTAATTCAAGTGCATTTTGCAAATCAGCATTTAAAAAGATACTGTATGTAGCTTTGCCAACCCTAAACATTCAAAAATCATGAGTAAGGCTCCAAAAATAATGAGATTTTAAAAAAAATATTAATGTTGGGTTCTTTTTATTTGCTCGCTGTGGCTTGGGGTGTTTTTTCTTTTTCTTTTCTTTTTTTTTGTCTTTATGGTTCATGTTTTCAAGTTTTTCTTTGCAGCCATGAAGACTAGAAACTTACTTTAAAAAAAAAATGTAAGCGGAGAGTCTAATATAATCACATGACTGCAGGAGCGGTGGCTTTCAGGGAAACAGCAAATAGAGCAAGGCACATACAAGAATTAGCAACAAAATACATTTGCTTGAATTAAGACTGAATAAGGTTTTTGTGTTCTCTACCCAGTGTCCTTTAATAGCCTCAATTTACTTTTTTCAGCCTCCAGTTTTTCCCAGCTTTTAGCCCCTCCCCCCTCTCCCCCCACCCCCAGCTTATGGCCCGGTGTCACAGCCATATCTTTCCTGTCAGGGAAAATCCAGGGGACTCCTCTCCAGAGTCCATTACTGCTGCTCCATGTGGGGCCTACTCCTGCTCCCATGGAGCTCCATGGCAAACCTCCCATCCACTGTGATGGGAGGATGCCCCGGGAGCTCAGTCCTATGAGGCGCTAAGCGATGTCCAGAAGGCACAGAACGTCCTCGGCTCCTGTTGATTTCAGTGCGGGCACTTGGCCTCTCCCAGGAGGTGGCCAGCACCTCACAGGATGGGACTCAGGGCCTGGCCATTGTGCAGGGGCTCAATTTGGGGGTGCAAGGAAGTCCCTGCTTTGGGTATCCATCCCACAAGGCCAGGCATAATGCCAACGCCCCTGAATGCAGGGATGGCTCTCACTGGAACATCAAGCTGCAGGCCAAATTCCAGCCCACACAATAGCAGCCTGCCGTTCACATGCCCAGGACGTCGCTCGCCCTGTCTTCCACAGAGGGCTCGCTGTGGAAGCCAGTCTGCTCACCTGTTTCCGACACTGGAACATGCAGTCATGGAAGCTTGCTTCAATCCAATAGCTGTCCGATGACCAGCCTCTGTCGCGTTCCATGTCGACAGGTGTCCTCACAAATGATAGGGCCGCATCACTGGGTCCCTTGCAGGCAGATTCAGCAGAGGGGCCAAGGCCTGAATGGGCCTAGAAGCCCATTTTGCTTTTTCACCCCTAGAACTAGTCTCTCCCAGTCAAAGGCATGGCGTTGGGGCAGCTTGCCCTGCTCCTGCCCAGGCTGTACCCATTATGTGGGCTAAACAGGTGACTGCTGTCTCCAGGGATGTCAAACTGAGCCCTCTTACCAGCACTCAATTCACTGAAAAATGAAAGCAAACGTTCTATTGGGTGAGTTGCCTGTGTGGAGAAAAGTAGGAGACAGGCCTAAAAATATCAAACTCTTTATAAACCTGGAAGGAAATATGCCCTTCTGATTTTACTGCAAATTCTCCTAAACCAGCAGCCCCAGGTCACACAGACAGAGATCCTCAGACACTTTTCCTTTAGCAAATGGATAGTTATTTTTATGCAATTTTGCAAATTTTATCCCCCCCTTTTTTCTTTTGTGAAATGTTGATGACATCTTCCTCTTGCACTTTTTTTTTACACTAAAATATACCAGAAATGCAAAACCCTAGCATTTTTGCAGCAAGCCAAAAATAGGCTAATTTTCGCTTTAAAAAAAACAACAACAACAAAAAAGGAAGAAAAGAAGCCAGTTAGGCAGTTCAGCCCATTTTTCTGTCCATGTCTTGTGATGTGGGGGCAGGGGGGCGAGTAGGAGAACGGGGAACCAACCCATCCAAGTAGTTTTGCACTTTTGCTGTCTGTATATTTAAACTGTTTAGTGTTTAGGACTTTACTTGATCCCTTAAGGCCTCATTCCTGCGACATGAGCCAAACAGGTTCTGCCGGAGCAGATCATATTGAAGGTTCTTGGCCTTATTATTTGGAGTCGGTTGGAAAATTTTAAAAAATTCAAAATTTTGACCAACAGCCCCCTCCCCCAAGAACAATTCTTATATATATACAGTGGGTTTCTCCCCATTATTCAACCATCGCTGCCCTCTATATTATGTTAAAATGTTGCACATTTATCTGTCATATAACTGGCCACGTATTTGGAATCTGTTGGGCATTTAAACAGAAGCTGTTTCATACAGCTGCCCTGTCACACAAACCTGCTAATAGACTTGACACCCACTGGTGCCCCTCTTCGAGGACTTTAGCAGCTATGTGGATTACTGTTGACCGTTCGTATCTGAGGAGGAGGAGGAAATTTTGGGTACAGAGCTAGGGGTAACAAACACTGCCCTCTAAGGGCTGAACAAAAGCCTATTGAATTCAGTGGAAAGACACCCAGTGACTTCAATGGGTTTTGGATCAGGCCCTGTATCCATTGCCGATATACCTCATACTACATTATTTTGGATTGAAGGAAAGAATGTGATCCAGTAGGTTTTTTTTTTAAAAAAAGAAAACATTTGTAGGTTGTGTTATGATTTATTATTAGACATAATAAAGGAAATAAAATCTACAGGGTGTAAAAGGGTTAGACTAGATGACCTTATGGTTTTATGATTCCATGATGCATTCTCTGGTGGATGGGGAAAGACTTAGATGTGCTGGAAAACATCTAGAAATAGCATTATTGAAAAGGGTTTTAGAACGGTGTCAGTCTTATCCGTTCCTTCTGGAAGCTCTAGCATTAGTCCCTGTGACATGGAGAGTATGCAACTGCCAAATCCCTGATCATAGCCCCAGCGGAAAATATTAGTTATCAGTGTTCATTGTCAAGCAACGCAAATGAGTCAGAGAGCTAAAGTGGAAATGTTTATGGTTTGTTTCTTTCTTCCAGTTACTCTGTTCAGGCTTTCTGATCTATGATGGAATGAATGGAAAATGTGTGTGTGAGGGTTATAATTAAGTTTTGGATAGTGACTCCTTGTGCCACCATGAGTCCCTCCAAAAAACACATCCCCAAAAGATGAAACAAAGAAGCGAACCTTTAGTCTATTATTTATATAATCGTCTGTGTGCCATAGCCTGGCATTTGGGCAGCACATCTCCATTGAACAAGCAGGCCTTATTTTGATAAGGCAGAAGCAACAATAATGTTCTCCAAGTGTCCACCTTTCAGCCAACATGATCCTACAACATGTCTACGTACACTGATACGGGCATATTTACGGGGCCCATCAATGTTATGTCTCAGGCATGTGTACTATTGATTATTCATGTCTAGAAAGATGTCTCCATCGAGTATTTTCCTAGGTGGCAGATTTTTTTTTCCAATCTCATATTTTACAAGTATTATTTTTTCTTTCTTTGGGGGATTTATTGTTGAATTCAATGATGTCTATAAAGGATATCTTTGCTTTGGCTATTAACAGGCAAGTAAATGCTAAACAATTTAAAAGAGCAGAGAAGTAAATATTTAAAAAGTAATTTATATTGCCCCCTAATAACTACTTTGAAAAACCTTCCAGTGCAGTCGGAGTCAGTGGGGGTGGATCATGTGCAGGGCCAGCTCCAGTGTTTCTGCCGCCCCAAGCGGCCGGGGGGGGAGGGTGGGGGAGAAAGCTGCGATCGGCGGCACTTTGGTGGCAGCTCCACCGTGCCACTTCGTTCTTCTGCTGAATTGCCACCGAAGAGCCGGACGTGCCGCCCCTTTCCATTGGCCGCCCCAAGCACCTGCTTGCTGTGCTGGTGCCTGGAGCTGGCCCTGATCATGTGTTTGTAAGCAGCCCAGAATCGATAAGAACACAGCAATCATTTTTCTAAGAATTTTGTACTAAAGCTGATGAAAAATCAGAATTTTCATTCCACAGGAAATTCTGAT